ACGTCCTCCTTTGAGCCTGTTACTGATGAGCACACGTCTCCTTTCCCTTTCAGGTTGCTCTTTCTCTTGCGGATGGAGAAAACGGAGGACTTGGAGTCAGATTTGTTTTTCTTCCTGCCTGGTCCTGTGCCATACATCCCCCCTCCTCCTGCGCTGCTGCCTGCTCCTTTACCTCCATGCTTACCGTGAAGTTTCTTTCCTCCTTTTTTTGTCACATCCCCTCCCTCTCTCCATCCTTCATCCAGTGAAGGGTAGCTTCCATTACCCGATGCTGCAGCTTTTTTTTGCTTAGCCTCCTGGTTGCCCATGTCAGTGGAGAGCGTCTGATGTTTGCCTGCTTCACTCAGGTCATGGCTGGGATAGCTTTATCTATCTTGGGGTGGGGGGTCTAGATGCCTGTGCCTGGGGAAGGTAGAACCCCGTCTTGACCTAATCTGTGGATGCACGTCAGGTGGAGGTGGAGGAGTTTCTGCTGCTGCTGATGTTTTTTTTAATCTCTGTGGTGTCAAGATCTTCCTCGTTGTTTTCCGGTGACGAAAGCTTGCGTGGCAGTGATGTTGGCGCTGATGCAGTAGAGACATACAGCTCCCTCTTCCTCCTCCCTTTTTCTCTCTGTCTTACCCTCCCCCTCTTCCTCCTCTCCATCTGCTGAAAGGAGTGACGTAGGAACTCCATGCTCAGTGGCGCTATGATGCAGAGGCAGACTGTGAGAGATGGAGAGCAATGGGGATGGGGATACAAAGCCAGGTCTATGGGAAAAAAGGACAAAAGGGCCTGAGAGGAATAAAGGTGCCGGTGGTCGAATGTAGTGGAGGCGGGAGTGAAAACGTGCCTGGACAGTTCCTTATGGTCTGTCAGTGCAGCTAAGCACACAATTCTTTACTACGTTTCCCATGATTCCTAGACTGCTGTCTAGATTACCCATAATGCTAAGTGTGGGCTGGACTCAAATAAAGAGACCTCTCATGCAAAACTCCCTCCATTATCTGTTAATTAACAATAATATACACAAATAACAACACTAATTCTTAAAAAAGATGTTTACTTATACAAGGAGTTTCAGGTGGTTAATGGTCTCAGTCTCCTCAGTACAGGACCTGCTCTGCAGCTTTCGATCACATCACATGATCTTCTTTAGCAGTTTGCCCAGTTGTCATGGGAATGTAGATGTTTTGTTTTGGGTGTATTGTTTATTGCTTATGGAGATCAGTTTAAACTGAGTTTATTTTTCCACATCTCAAAAATGTGTAATATTTCAAGGTTTCTTCACACCGCCTAAAGAGAGGTCATACGTGTGACAGCCAGCAGCATTACCAGCAGCAAAATCACTATTCACAAAGAAAAGATCTCTCAGCACTGAGGGATGCTCTCAGAGTTTTGGATGACATCTAGCTCTCCCTATTCCAGGTGAATGCACTTACTCTTATATTGTTAGAACAAAAGCAGATAAATTAAATCTAATGCCATGTAATAGAAGAGGAAAAGGGGAAAGTGAAAATGAACACCTCTTTTGTTTTCAAAGCTACTGACATCTTCTGTAAACACATTCTAAAGAAACAGATTAATTTTTGTCCGTAAACTTAGTGACTTAATCCTAAAGGCTCAACAGAGGCCTCTCCCTCTTCTAAAACTAATTTCAACTTCATGATGCAGCAAAACCACAATCATACACTGATGATAAACTATATAGTCCACAACATTAAGTCATTTATCATCTGAAGTGCCACACAAGTTTTATATCTGTGTGGGATGGTGGAATAAAATTAAATTTTCCCCAAAGATCAAGAAAATTAATATAAACCATGTAACTGCCATTGTTGGCAGATGCACGAGAATGCAAAGACCAAACCAGGGTGATAAAAGACTTTAAGAGCCTAAAGTCAGACTTGTAAAAACAGGTCTAGTTAGAACCACAGTCTAATCTTACCTATCCATTAACTCATTTAGGAACCACTGTAGCTGCGGACCACACCATATCTGTTCATGTTATTCCATTGCTGATAGATCTTTCACCAAAGAAACTGGTTTCCAATATTCATCAAGTTTCACACAGAAGGCCCCAACACTGACCTTGAGAACTAGACCAATAATTATAAATCAGTAAGAACCAATAAGTTTACTGTTCTTTGCCTCTAAGCCACAAAACACAGTGTGGTGAATTAATCTTCTGCAAATCACATGTTGTAATGAAAATAATTTTAAAAAACAAAAAATTATTATGAGTTTTTGTTATTAAATAAACATTTCAATCCTTTTAAATTCAAATGACTCTACTGAGTCTTCTTTTTGGGTTTTTTTTGGAAATATGGTGACTTAGTGTGGCAAAGTCTTTCCTGACTGCTGTGTGTCCAACAGTATTCAGTTCAGCAGTTTATCTTGAAGCCACTGGATGACGCTATTGCACTATTATTACAGAGACCACGATCCAGAAATGCAGTAGTGACAGACAACATGTCAAAATCTTTAACAGATTTATTTTATTATATTTTCAGCAATCATGGGTAAATATGTTGATGGTTATCCATTTCATTTTACTGCTATTAAGCTCATATAAACACGTGAAGATTGAAGCAAAAATGAAAATGTTAGAGTTGAGTTGAGTTGCACACATTAATAAACAATCAAAGTATGCACAATTTAACACTTCGAAATAATCTCAGATTATTGTCATTTGTGAAGACAGCAGTGGTGGAGCAGAAGTAATGAATTGTTCTGTAGTGTTTTCCTGTAGGAGTTTTACTTTGCACTTTTCTTTAATCATCCGAGCAGGAAAGCTCAATAGAGCAATGAAGCTGAAAGGACTTCATGAGAATCTCTCTCTTAAAATCTGATTGAAAACTGGATAGATCTGTGAATATGTAAAACTTCTGTAAAAGATCCAGGATAGATGGAGTCATATCAGACACTCGGGTCATTGCTAGACACACAAAGAGAGAACTCTGTTTGTTCATGGGCCTGTGGAAACATGCGAGGAGCAGACAGTTTGTACTTATTTAGCCAATCATTCATCCTGAACACAATTTGCCCAGAATAAATCTTGTTTATATACATTTCTGAATGTGCTGTCTATGGATACTTTTCCCACAGTGCAACACAGAATGAAAATGGAGAAGTTCATTATAGTTGGACAATGATGCAACAGTTCCAGCAACAGACCAGAAAACAACATAATTTTCTTCCTTTCTTGTTATTAATGATTCCTTAGGGCTGTTTCACTTTTTATTTTTGAAGTTTTAAAATTTGACAGACCTGATACTGTGAGTGACATGCAACTTCACATGCTTTGTGTTATTTCCTGTAATCACATCCTGACAAAATCACACAGTCAGCATTACAGTGTAATGTCTCTCCTTCTGCTGTGTGCTTTGAACTATTTTTTCCACCTAATATGAACTGTAGTGCAGCAGTAATGTGATCATGTTAGATTATTTTACAAATGTAAACTGGGCATGGGTCTTCACATTATTACACTATTCTATAGTATTTCCATAGATAAAAAGACAATTAAACGGGATAGTCTGTGTCACACAGTGTTAGATGTTTCAGTTGACAATACATGTCTGTGAGCAGCTTTGTACAAACACCACAATAGTGAATAATATTGATAATGATCGCCTAACTCAACCAAGGTATCAACAGGGGTCTGCTGTGTCTACACTGATCATTTCTATTCATGAAAAATTATTCTACTCCATTACTGATTATAGACACCCACAGTTCAGCTCCACAGAAGCATAAACTACAGCCTGCAAATGACCTTTAGACAATCAACACTTAAAACTGTTTCAACAAAGTAAATAGGTGTACCTAATAAACTGGCAACTGAATGTATGTTGTAACTGACATCCAGGTTATCATTGATTGTCAAAGCAATATTTATACAGTTACCTGTCTGTTAATTTTTTGAAAACAGTATTCTTTCTAAAGTTATATCTACTATAATAACAAATTATTACCAAAAAAAGTCATTTTGAGAAAACATTTTTGCTGAACTTTTTTATTTTTTATTTATCTATTTTCACTCAATGCAGAAGTTTAAAGACCTGTCTTAAAATCCTTAGAAAAGGCACTATTAAAACAAAAACTGGCATATATAAGTGGTAACATTAGTGTTAAAAATAAATTAAATCTGGGTTACTTTTATTTTGAAAAATATCAGACCAAATTCTTACACTCTTCAAGAAGTCCACTTCCTAAAACACACCAAACTATCATTCCATTATGCACAGCACAGCAGGGAAATTATTAAATATATCTCTAACTATTTGTATCTTAAGAGTCTAAGTCCTAAACAAACCCTATTAAATAACACACTGAATGTTTTGCTTCGTTGAGCACATCAGGCCTGGGGGGACAAATGTGAAATCCATCCTGTAGGGAGCACAAGTCATTAAACTCAAAAAGTTTTAGAGCATTTTGTATCCACCAAATTTAATGCAGAATTTTAAAATTAAATATTGAGATTCTTTTCCTACAACTGACAATTTGGTCTGAGTGCCGCACTTACAGTGAGCTCATGGAAATGGTTTATCCTCTGTGATGATGAATATGCTCAATTTCATGTGAATTTTGATAGATTTGATAATTGTCATACACAATTTAAATGTTGGACTGTGGCACTAAAAATCATGAATATTTAAAACATGGAAATTAGTTTTTGAGATATTAGATCACTGGAGGTCAGTGTGGTAATTTTGAATTCATGCTGGGCTACGAAAGATCAAGCGGTCACCAAAATTATCCTCTGAGGACCATGAATATCCATTTCAAATTTGGCCAGCTGCTGTCAAGACACAGTGTCTTGGACAGACTGAAAAAACAGGCTTAGGCCACTCAGCTGACTTGGCAAATCTTTCCATGAGGCCAGAACAAATTTGAGTGACAAAATTCAGTTTAGCATCTTCTCCCTGAAAGACCAGGAATGCTGCACTGCAAATCTGAAAATGGATCAAGAAACACCTCTTTAGATACAGATCCATGTAATAATTTCCCCCCTTCCTCTACATTGGGTCTTTCTTCTGGAAAGCCACAGCCTTCCTTTGATGAAAATGAGGCTTGTTTTTCTTTTGATTCCACTGGCACATCAAAATATCCCTGAAAGTTGTACGGAAGGTTTTGTTACAGAGAGCATAGCACATGGGGTTGACTGTGCTGTTTACATAACACAACCAGTAGCCCAGTGCCCAAAGAGTTTCAGGGATACAATCCTGACAGAAAGTGTTGACTAACACCATGATGTTATATGGCAACCATGTTGTAATGAAGGCAAACAGGATAGCACTGAGTGTCCGTGCTGCTTTCTTCTCATTTGCCTTTTTTTCATTCTTGCGCTTATTTATCTCTGTCTTGGCTTTAGAAGCAAAGCGTTTGGCCATAGCTGCATCTTTCATTGTGATGGCTGCAGGTGATTGGTCACTAGGCAATGAGCTGATAGGGCTTGATTGTGACTCTTTTCGACTTTTATTAGATGACGATAACTGTTTATCCTTCATGTTCATCTTCACCTTCCCAGATTTCTTACCACCTAGATAGATAGAAAGAAAGAAAGAAAGAAAGAAAGAAAGACTTTATGAGAAAGACCATTATGTATACTTGTGCAATGTACATATCATGCAAACAAGGCAATGGTGTGTTATGTCCAACCTGTTGGAGGCCTTGATGGGTCCACACCATCGGCTTCCTCTTCTGAGCCTGACTGTTCCCCAGAGGCACCAACTTCATTGTTGTTGAGACTATCACAGCTGCTCTGCTCTGTCTCACCCACTGTAGATGTGAAGGTATTGACGGATCTCTTGGATGCATGGAAACCTGGCAGCAGTGATGAAAACTGAAAGCAGAATGTGCCACACCTCCCTCTGCATCCTGTTCTTCCTGGTATGCTGGCATTGTCCTTGTTGTTCATCTCTGAAGCCAGTTGATTTAGTTCATAGCTGCTGCAGCTTTGGGAGCTGATCTGGCGCAGCATGGCTGATGAAGTCTTCTGGTTGTTGGCTCTACCTTCTCCACCAGTTCTCCCACTGCCACTCCCTTCATTCTGAGCCTGGCTTGGCCTGTTGCTTGACCCAGATCCCTTGAGACCTTGTACATCTTTAGCTCGCTTCTCTGTCTCCTGATAGATCTTCCAAAACAGGAATGCCATAATAGTCACTGGCAAGTAGAATGCAGCGATAGCAGTGCAGAATGTAATGATGGGCTCAGACAGGAACTGGATGTAGCACTCGTTAGGCTGGACTGTCCGCTCACCCACAATGTACTGCCAGAATAGGATAGCTGGGGCCCACAGAATGAAAGAGATGGACCAGGCTAATCCAATCATGGTCATGGCCCGCTTGGTCGTACGTTTAGCTCGGTAGGTCAAAGGTCTGGTCACAGAGAAATACCTAAGAAGACACAGAAAGAGAGAGGCAACTGTACAGAAACAGAATAACAAAGTACCTCGCATTGCTGTCTACTATTTTCAAACTACACAAGGGACTATGTCCTATAGGGCATATGTCATGTTTGCCATGGTAATGAACATGATACTATCATGATACCACATTGTAATGTATGCTTTTTGTGATTTGGGTACTCTGATCCATTCAGTATTCAAACACTTTACATTCATCATAAAAAGAACCTCTAGAATAAACATTCAGGATAATCCATTGTTACAAACAAATCCATGACCTATATTATTTTAAAGAATATTATCACACAACGTGTGATATGTAGGTAGTACCAACAATACAACAAGGTGTCCAGCAGATGCATTTATCAATAAAAATAAAAATACATCACATTCTGCTACCTGTCAAAGCTGATAACGAGCAGGTTCATAACTGAAGCGTTACTGGCCACATAGTCAATTGCAAGCCACAAGTCACAAACCACTGGCCCCAGAGCCCACTGGTCCATGATGATGTAGGTAGTATACAGGTTCATTGACAGCGTCCCAATGGTCAGGTCAGCAAATGCCAGGCTAAGGAGGTAGTAGTTGTTCACTGTCTTCAGTGCCTTATTGATCTTGAATGACACCAACACTAGGATGTTGCCAACAACAGTGACAAGAGAAAGTGATCCAGTGAGGAAGACAATTATGATGACCTGAAGACAAAACGTGAGAAGAGAAAGGACAAAAGATGGTAGTTAAGTAACTTGCAATGTGTAAGACACTAACTGTTTCTGAAGCACAAGAGAGAACAATGTTAACTTTCAAAAAACTGAGCTAAACAAAGAATGGTGTTTCTCAAAACTGAAAATGTTCTCGAGCAGTAAATGTAATTGTTCTGGAATGGATGGCAGAAGTCTCAGAACCTAAGCCAAATCAAATGAAAATTATCTGTATTGTGAGATACCACCAGGATAAATTTTAAAAAATTATTTGGGATTTGAGTTAACTAACATCTGCAGTGAAATGCTGCACATTTTTTATAAATCAGTGGGGGCCAGTGTACTTTTTTGTGGTGCAGTCTGCTGGGGTAGCAGTATGTCTGACATGAACACAAGGAAACTGGACAAGCTGGTCAAAAAGGTTGGTCAAACTTTGTATTTGATTTTTTAATTCAACCATGTGCTGACATACATTTCAAAAAGATCTTGGAGTGAATACGAAGAAGATTTCTGAAGTATTACAATTTCACCATTTATGATTTATACCATGACAGAACAACTGCAACTTTACTTTTAAGAAATTGTATTGTCACTGCCCAGAACAATAAGTAACAGTGTACTGCATTATTCTTTTAAAACCATACTTGGTACATTCAGTGATTTTATGACTACGTGTCCGGAAGGACTCAAATCAAGTCCTGTTGAAGTTGCTATAGATGTCCCTCAAGGGTATATTTTGGGTCCTCTTCAGTTCACAGTTTATATAAATAACATGAGGCAAGTAATTTCTGCCACTCACAGTGAAACTGACATTTATATGCAGATGATACCATCTTTTAGGCCATAAACTAATCTCTTAATTCCGAAATTTTTAAATTGCAAATTACCAGTTGCCTTTTGATGCTTTTTAGATTTCGATGGATGGATGGATGGATGGATGGATGGATGGATGGATGGATAAAATTTAAATAGACTTCTGGACATACTTATAAAACATAGAAACAATTGAGTTACTGATTCATTTAGACAAGTCTCAGACATCCAATGTTTATCTTGGAGTGCAACTGAATATTTGTCTGGTGGTCCCTACAGCCATAGATTTTACAGAGTGAGGCCATGAAACTATCCTGCCCACTGTTCTGGAGTGCTAAACCTACAGTGTACCTATGTTTCATGTCTGCACATTCAAATGAGGTATAGACTGCGTGCACAATTATTAGGCATGTTGTATTTTTGAGGATTCATTTTATTGTTGAACAAATATAGTGCTCTTGGTCAATCCAAAATGTTAATAAACCTTAAATCTGAATATTTAAGGCAGTAAAAGTGAGTTTTTGGCTTTCTTAGCAGAATATCCATTTGTGCACAATTATTGGGCAGCTATTAGTGTGCAGAATATAATGCAACTAAATGAAAAATCTCACTTGTTTATTTTCATCTGTTAAAGTGAGAATAACAAACAAACAACTCAAAATTTACAAATAAACATTTCTGACATTTCCAAAAAAGTGTGCAGCACTTGCAGCACTTGCAGCAGCAACCACAGCCTCCCATACACTGTTCAGAGAGGTGTATTGTCTTCCCTCACTGTAAATCTCCCATTTAAGAAGGGCCCACAAGTTCTCAATAGGGTTTAGGTCAGGTGAGGAAAGGGTCCATGTCATTATTCTTTCATCTTTAAGGCCTTTGCTGGCTAGCCATGCAGTGGAGTATTTGGATGCATGCGATGGAGCATTGTCCTGCATAAAAATCATGGCCTTCTTGAAAGATGAAGACTTTTTCCTGTACCACTGTTTGAAGAAAGTGTCTTCTAAAAACAGACAGTAGGTCTGGGAGTTGATTTTAGTCCATCTTCAACCCGAAAAGGTCCAACTAGCTCATCCTTAATAATACCAGCCCATACCAGTACCCCACCTCCACCTTGCTGGCGTCTGATTCGAAGTGGAGCTCTGTGCCCGTTACTGATCCAGCCACGGGCCCATCCATCTGGTCCATCAAGAATCACTCTCATCTCATCAGTCCATAAAAACTTTGAAAAATCTGTCTTCAGATTTTTCTTGGCTCAGTCTTGACATTTCAACTTATGTGTTTTGTTTAATAGTGGTCGGATGTCAGCTTTCCTTACCTTGGCCATGTCTCTGAGCACTGAACACCTTGTACTTCTGGACACTCCAGGTAGGTTGCAGTTCTGGAATATGACGGCACTGGAGGATAATGGGTTCCTGGTAGCTTCATGTTTGATTCTTCTCAAATCTTTAGCAGTTAATTTGCGTCTTTTTTTCCCAACACATTCCTTGCGACCTGATTGACTATTTACAACAAAACGTTTGATGGTTCGGTGATCAGGCCCCAAAATCTTATCAATTTCAAGAGTGCTGCATCCCTCTGAAAGGCTTTTTACAATTTTTGACCTTTCAGAGTCAGTTAAATTTCTTTTTCGGCCCATTTTGTCTGAGGAAAAGAACTTGCCTAATAATTATGCACACCTTGATATAGGATGTTGATCTCTTTAGGCCACACCCTCCATCATTACACAAATACACTTCACCTGATATGCTTAAATCCAATAAGCATTCAAATTTATACAGCTTGGAGTTGGAAAATATTCATAAAAATGATGATATTGTCAAAATACTCACTTGCCTAATAATTGTGCACACAGTGTATATGGTAACTTATTTTAAAAAGGACCACTCAACCACTTCATGTCTAAGCTGCACTTTATCTAAGACTGCAAAGAACAAATATTTACATACAGAGGCTTATACTGTACCATGGTACCTAAAGGAGTATCTTACAGAACATGCGTCTCCAAAGGCAGAACCCCAAAAACAGTATGGCTAAATTACCATTATCCTAATTAATATTAACTTATTTTTATAATGCTCACATTACAACACTATTGATTATAAATGTGTAAAACTTAAAAAATGTCTATTAATGGCTTGTTAATGGCTTATTCAGTATTACAGTTGTAGCTAAGCACTAACTAAAACTTGATGCCATGAAAAAAGATTTACCAGTAAGGGTTTGGTAAAATCACAGCTGATTGTTACCTGCCAGATAGTATGTCCTCCCAATGGGTCAAAGGCCTCTGCTGGCGGTATTAATGTCTTGTTAGCTGGTGAATCAGTGAAGTTTCCTTCATGTCTTGAGATATGACTGACATTGTGCTGCCACTCACCAACACTGTCAGATAATATGGCCAACTCCTGGTAAGAGCCACCTGAAGATAAAAATAAAGACTAAATGAAGCTTAGCATAAATTTACTCAGGAAGACTATCTCTATTCTCCCTCTCTCACCCCACTCCTTGTAATCAACTGACTTCAGGTGCTCGGCAACCAAAAACATCTTGCCACCATCTTAACCAGCAAATCAAGTTGTCCCTGTCATACTTTAAAATCTGATCTCCTCTCCTGTTATCAGTTGCTGCGAGCTCCTCCACACCTTTCACCTCCAGTCTTCATATCCAGGCGAACTGCTGCGACCTCCTCCACTTCATCCCCCTCCAGTCTTGATATCTAGTCATGCCGAGCTCATCATTATTCTCATCACATCCAGATATCCAGCTTCTCCTCTTCCCATCTTCAAGACCACCACCAGTGTCTAGATGCCGGGGGGTTTCCTAAACTTCGCACAGCCTCACCCCCTTATCACATATGATGACATTACAATGGGGTCTCATCACCAAAGACACTCACATCTTTCCTCTCACTTTTCCTCTCTTGTTTTGCACACGGCAATAAAAGTTTATTCGTTAGCAAATGAGTCTTTCCTGATTGAAATAATGATGTCAAGAATTGCTGTCTCAGAGCATCACAGAGAATCCATCCTATAGATTTCTTACAGATACAAATTTTATCAGCAGATCCAAAGAGCATTATCTCAGCAGCCATTTAGCTAAGATCATAAAAACATTTAATTTTTTTTGTTTTTTTGGTTTATTGATTGCGTCTTTCTCTCTCTCCCTTTTGATTTAACTCAGTTGAATCTAAAATTGATTGAATTAGGGGAAAGACATTGTGTAAGTTGTTTTGACTGCCCTGCTACCCTTATATATCCTTTCAGATTTTTATTGAATGCTTTTACAAAGACAATTTAAAATGTGCTCGCAACCAACTACACAATATCTGTATTACTTAGTTGTAACAGAAATATTAAGTAACTAGACAGTACCTAAGTTGGCAGGCTCGAATACGGTGGTATCAGACTGCTCTCTCATACCAGGAGAACTGTTGGTAAGGAAGTGGATAGGAGTAGAGCTGGAGTTCAAGTTCATGATGCCCAAGGGACACCTGTAAGAAAAAGGAGAAAATAGATTCACAGATGAAAACAAATTAATGACTAAGATGTTTAACAGGTTTGATTGTTTTACAAAAGATTTGGGCCCGTTATGTGCTTTAAAGGGGAAATTTCTATTTCAATCAGTTTAAACAGCAGTTTTAAAGAAATATATGTTGAAAAACCAATTACCAGCCAGAACCAGTTTTGATACCTTGATACCTGACTTGTTATTAGCACCAAGATACAACTGTCTGTGTTCATCATCCTGCTGTTTAAGAATTTCTGAACAAAATATAACACCACTGAAGTTCTGTTATGATGTCCTTTAAATGTATCTGTTCAGAAGGCTGTCACATGCCAGACAACATGCTTCCTTTGTGTCACATAATGAGACATCTTGGTTGGCGAATTGGTGCCTCTCCCTGTCCCCCTCCTCTGAGGTCTGCAATCTTGGCATTGCTTTTGACTCCACACTTTGATTTTAGCTGCTCTTAAACATTACCAAACTTGCTCTGAGCAACATCTCCATTCTCTAGCCCTCACTTCCTATCTCAGTTATAGAGACCCACATCAAAACCTCTCACTTGGATTATTGTAAATTAATCCTAGTTGGACTAATCAATAAAATCCTGGACTGATTTAAAATTCAATTCACTCAATCTGGACAAAGCAATCATCATCAATTTTATATTTCCAACATATGAACCTACCATTGAAATTACTCTACAAGAATATGAAAGAACTCAAGGTAGACTTTACTGTAAGTGTGAGTGATGAAGATTGCCATCATTGCTGACTTGGCCACTACCAGTATCACACTCCTGTAATTCACTATACACTCGGATGATACACCAGTAGGTACATATTATCAGAGCATTTCTGTACTGGCATTTATTTTGACCAACATGGTTGCCATTCCACAGTTTGTCTATCACAGAAAACTTAAGACCCCCCAGTTAACAACACATGTGAGCTGGCCAGAGGACAGTGTTGGGACTCATCATTCAAGAGACCAGATGTTTCTTTGCTCCACTGGACAAAGGAACTCACACCCCAGGAGAGCAGCTCCTGCTCTCTCCTCTAGGCTCTTCAAAGGGCAACAAGGCCCCAGCCCAGGTCAACCCTGCTACCTGAGAAACCAGCTCTCTCGCCAGCCTGCTCACAGCAGCCTGCAAACGCTCTTCTCCTCAACAGCAGTGACCTACTTCGGATTAACTGAGAGTGAACCAAGTTATCTTCAGAATCAGCAGCTACGACACAAGGCCAACTGATTTTCCAAACAACAGGAGTCATAGCAGAGTTAGCGTAGAACAGCTAACTTTGTGAGGATAACAAAGGCGATAACAGCAAAGCAACACAGCCAGACAGGACTTTACTCCACCGGGAAGCCTCCCAACTCACTGGACTTTACAACAACACTGGAAAGGACCTCTTTGTTTGTTCCAAGGACTGGGTAACGTTAACTGACTGGGCCTAACCTTTCCCAGCACAGCATAGCACAGCATAGCTAAGCAGCAGAAGTCTTAACTTTGTTAATGTACTTGTTGATTGATGTCTTGTTGTTGTAATGTTGGCTTAGGTTGTGGTCAGTCATACAGTTAATTGGGTACTAGTATGTTCACACTCATAGTAGTACGTCCCAGTTCCAAAACCTGCATGAAGCTAACCACCTCCCTCTAACCTGGTACCTTTAGATTGCATGAGCTAGGCTAACAAAGAAACTCACACCTTCCCTCTCACACACTCCAGGTGGTCTCAGCGGCCATTTTGAGTAGTTTCTTTGTTTACCGCCATCTTGTGTAGTCTTCTTTGTTCAGGTCATGTGGTCACAGTGACCACTTTGAATCGGCCATCTTGCCTTTGTTTGTGTCCCCACAGAAACACACACATACACTTACACACACACATACACACACCTGTATATACTAGATTAGACATTGTGTTTGTACTCCGCTCCATTGTAAATAAATGTCTTTAAGTATAACTACTGGTGTGTTTAATGTTGCACAAGCGTGAATATTGCCAACCTCTACTCTGTTGATATGGTAATTTGGTTAGTTCCAGATTAATGGTAATAAATTGAGACTAAAACCATACTGGCTATTTTGCCTATTAGTTTAGGCTGGTGCCCTGAGGACTTTAATTAATTTTAACATTATTATTTAATATCAATATTTTTAATATTAATATTTTTCTTAATTTATGATAGCCAATAAATTGATAGACAACCGAAATCCAACAACAGACAGCTGAGTAGACGATGGCAGAGGAGCAGAGTTTTTTGGTCTGTTAAGTGTTTACTTCATTGCAAGTATTTGCTTGTGAAATGGATTATACAAAAACTAACAAAAGAAGACAAATATAAACTAGTGTTATGCCTGACAAAAGTTCTGTCAACCATGGCCATGCCATATTAGTCTATATACACTAAAGGGTATTATGCATATGAACATACTGTACAACTATTGGCTGAGGCATTCCAAACATGATCGTCAAGTTCATATATAATAATATCAAGTTAATTTTTCATGTACAGCCTGGTGTTCCCTCTAGCCGATGACAGTGTTTTTTTAAATTATAGACATTCATTACAATGTTTCAAAGAGAGCTCAACAAATATCACCAAGCACACAAGCTGTTATGTGCAACCTGGCTATCTATTGGTATGGTATTTATTTTAAGGTGAGTCATTTTTCCCCAATTCACCGCTACATTGGAACTTGTCAAATTCCACTCTAACCCTTGGTAATGTATTATGCTGTATTATATTTCACTTAAAGCACTATGTCTGCCCTAAAGTGTCACTACATCATATACATTAAGCCAATAACATATGACCATGATATGCCAAAAGAGTAGAGAATTGCAGCCCCAGGAATTGTAAGAATGATTCTGTCCAACAGGGTAAACCAACAGAATCTGTAACAATGAAACAATAATGTACATTCAGAGTACACAATTAATTCCCAGCAACACTGTCCTGCATACAATAGGCTGGTGAAAAATGATAAATGCCAAATACTTTGTGTCTTCCCCAAAAGCAGCATTATCATAACCAGGGAGCCAACAGTGGAGTTACATGATGTAAGATTAAAAATGGCAGAACATATCAGTAAACAGGAGCACATCACATTAGCATCTCAGGCTTGATCACGTACTCCACTAAATAAACACAACTGGCAACATTCACAGGTTGGAAGATCCTCATCCTTGTTGCTCCACTAGTGCTAGCACTATTTGGTTCAGGTTCCTAAATAGTTGGGGATGGTTTTACTATACTCATATATTGTGTGCAATACATAATGTCTTCCAGTGCAGGGACTGAAGGAAGGCAAAAAATTTTCTTTAAAAAGAAAGACAGAAAAAGGGATTGGTCTGAGGCACTACTTTAACTGCTTTTCCCTCTCTGATAAATCAAGAAAAATCCCACTCCTGTGTTTACCATAGTTATATGATGATATATAGTACATCACTTCTAGAGATTGGGAAATCACTTTCTTAACAGTTCACAATCAGCAGATGGATTTAAAAGCCATTAAGCTTTTGAATTCATGCTAAAATCACAAATCTACTTTTCCTAATCCTGTGTATGGTCAATTTGTTTGGAAGCAGACTGAGACCCTATTTGACTCTATTTGACATGTCTCTCTTTTCCTTTGTACAGTGCTGCTGCTCACAAACAACTGCAGACAACTCCTGACAAACAAAATGTACAGCACCAACAGCATAATGATGTAAAATATTAGTATTTCCTACTTTTGTTTGAAGGACTGGAGCACCAGGGCTTTTATAGTGATACTCACTGCAACACAACTTACGTATGTCCCAAACATGTGAAACATGTTGGTCCCAAAACATAGTATTCACATTAATAGTGCTAGATGGAGTGGAAAAATATTCAGAGTGCAGAGTTCAATCCTCCGATCCCACTGCATTGCTGATTCTGGCATAGATTAGCATAGCCTGTAAAGAATAGATGACATTACTAATACAGGCTGTACTAATTAAAGCCAGAACCATCATATCTCCTCAGAAAATGTCCTCTCTGATGTGTGATGTATGGGAAC